TTGTGAAATATGTCTTGGCGAGATTCACACAAACATAATCTGTTATGTCTTACATGAACGTTTAGTTAATGGTTGGGGGAAAATCTGATGTGTAACATTATATTAGATCCATGCATTACAGTAGGTCACAATATTGATCTGTCTCGATGTTAATCAAACATTAAAAGAAAGACGGAATCATTTGCTACTCTTGATTAAACTACAGTTTATTTGCATCTTTGTATCTTATTTTTAATAGCAAAGATAAAATAAAAAACAGCTATATTGTGATTAATAATATAGTGATTATTATTAAGAAAAGAATTGGAGGAAAATATGCAAGGTTGCTCAGTGATTTTGCTTTGGAACCTTCAGAAAACTTTAACTCGATTTTTCTCAAAATTGACTTTACTGACTCTATCACCTTCAAACGGCTGTAGCTCAGTCATTTTTTGTCGATTCCAACAAGTTCTATATCATTTTGAAGGTATTTTAATGTAGAATGTGAAAATGAAGAGAACTCATTTTTGAAAATTTGCTCATTCCGACTCATTTTGCCAGCACGGGTCACAAATATTCACATTAAATTTCTGTCTTGCAAAATTCCAGTATTTATAGATTTTACATGTCCCAGAAGGGTGTTTTGTTTTCTTCAGAAAAAGACAGGAAAGAAATTAATGTGTGATTGGTCGTGTGCAACTGTTGCCTGACTTTTGGGTTTTGTGCCCATGGACATGCTTACTATTGTTTGACTTTATTTTTATTTATTAAGAAGCCTTCGTTGCTTGTAAAGCTTTGAAATCACAATGGATACTGTGGCAAGGTTAAATGATTAATAAATTTATATTGTTGTGTATGCCCAAAAAAGATTCCCCCCTGCCCCATCCTCAGAGACTGCTTTACCGGCACTGTGTATCACACGGGTGGACGGGAAGCACAGTCTTCTTGTACCAGCCACAGAGTAGGGAATTCCGCATATTATGACCAACGCTTACTGGGCAGCGACAGGATATCCTCTCTACAAAAGACAGTACACAAGTAAATTGAATTACATCTGTAAAAAAATTTAAATAAATCTAATTCAAGCATCATCTGACTTCACAAGTTCCAGCTTTTTAACATCCACCAGGGACCAATGACATGGTTGCTGAACAATAGGGTGGCCCTTATTGGGGGGTACATTTTTTTTATTGGAAATGTTAACCTGTCACCCCCTCATTTGTTTCTCCACTAGAAGTATGTAATGTATGTAAAATACCATCCAGATAATTAGATTTTTTGGGTATGCTCAAAGAATGTATCTTTTTATCAACAGTTACTTCAAGATCTGATTGGTAATATTAGCGAAGATTTTGTTCACTGATAAACTTTTGACTGTTTCTGATATCAGATGACTCTCTCTATTAGGCCACAACTGCCCCTTTGTTTCTCCAGAAGTAGGGGCAGTTGTGGCCTACTGGTTAGTGGTTAGAGAGTCGGACTTGTAACCCGAAGGATATGGGTTTGAGTCTTAGTACCGGCAGGGATTGTAGGTGGGGGGAGTGAATGTACAGTGCTCTCTTCCACCTTCAGTAACCTCGACTGAGGTCCTTGAGCAAGGCACCAAACACCCAGTTGCTCCCCGGCTGCTGGTCAAATGGCTGCCCACTGTTCCGTGTGTGTGTGTGTGTTCACTACTCACTGCTGTGTGTAGATGGGTTAAAAGAGCACAATTTCTGAGTATGGGGCACCATACTTGGCAATGTGTCACAGCAATGGCAGAACACTCGCAACTTCGTTGTTATTCTTGATCTCCGCCAGGACTTCTTAAATGAATTTCCTGGTTCCTGGACAATGCACATGCAAGAAAGAGTTGTTTGAGTCTTAGGACCGGCAGGGATTGTAGGTGGGGGGAGTGAATGTACAGTGCTCTCTTCCACCTTCAGTAACCTCGACTGAGGTCCTTGAGCAAGGCACCAAACACCCAGTTGCTCCCCGGCTGCTGGTCAAATGGCTGCCCACTGTTCCGTGTGTGTGTGTGTGTTCACTACTCACTGCTGTGTGTAGATGGGTTAAAAGAGCACAATTTCTGAGTATGGGGCACCATACTTGGCAATGTGTCACAGCAATGGCAGAACACTCGCAACTTCGTTGTTATTCTTGATCTCCGCCAGGACTTCTTAAATGAATTTCCTGGTTCCTGGACAATGCACATGCAAGAAAGAGTTGTTGCGCTTATCTAAGAGTATACAACGGACTCCTCTCAAAGACAAACGCAGTTCATTATGCAGATTGTCAGAGAGTGCCAAAATCGGTTTTCAGGTCCCCACAAGAATACTGTGGTTGAAGGACTTGTCGGATCATCATAAATATCTAGATCAGATCTAAGTTTTGTTCCAAGTTCACTTTCTTCACACCCCAAACGTAGTCCAATCTCAACGAAATTTGGTTTGTTTCCATTTCTTATGAAGGGCGGGTGAGAGCAGAAGATTTCAAAAGTCCAAAAATAAGGGCCACCCTACTGAACAGTTTTTGGTCTAAATGTTTCACAACACAATGCTGATATTATTTATAGTTCTCCAGAAGTCAACTTTCCATGAAAACCCCACACATCATTTCAGCTTAATTTGAGAGTGTTTTGTGCCTCCCATCTAACTCAACATTTAAACCTGTCATCTTTGTGAAGGCTCCTCTGCTCTTCTGGACATGAACCTTCTCTTGTTCTTCCTAACAAAACTACAAACATCAATTAGGACACCATGATTGAGTGATTGTAGGAAGTCATGAGGAGCACAACTTTTGACAGTGACATGTCTTTTACTTGTTCCCACGAGAGGAACGTAGGCTAATCATGCGGAATATGGCAACCCACATAGCATCAGCGCTGTGTTTTTTTCCATTCTTCCATGGTTGTTGTTTTTTTTAAATAGGCTTTAATGGAAACCAGGTCCCAGGCCCCTTGAAACACCACAACAAGTCTCTGAAAAAAAAATTTTTTTAGTCTCTGTGCGGGAGGAATGCAGTACACAGCTGGCGGAAAGGGTGGGAGAAGTGCCGGACTGAGGTCAGCACTGGGCAGACATCAGGGGCAGGTGGGGGGCTGTGTGCTGTGGGAATAATGTGTGTACAGCGACAGAGACAAAAGATTTTTATGAGAAAGTATTCCTTCTTAAGTGGGCTGCTGGGGGCCTCCTGCTGAACAGGGCAGCTGTGAAGACAGCGAGAGTTGTTGGGTTTTATAGAATGTGATTCACCGCTCATGTTTGTGTGCAGGCGTACATATGTGAATGAGGCTTCGATGGAAAATAAGCATATATGGATGTCAGCAGGAATCAATAATTCTCTCTTCTGTGTGGTAGACACATTTCAGAGCGGTCAAATCCAGTTTGACTCACTCTGACTAATATCTCTCAGTTGTACAGTGTGAGCAGCATCTTCTTGTAACTCTGATTTAATGGATTTAGATGTACAGTGTTTCTAAAACATGAGTGAGAATGAGTGATGACTCATAAAACATGTGGACAAAATGTAAATTTTCCACATTTCATGATGAATTATGTCTGAGACAGGCATAAAGTTACTGTCTTTGACACCATTTGGACACCATTTGGTCTGTGGCTTTTTGTCATGACTCGTGAAAGACATCAACATCACACAGCAAATACATTTTTAATGTGTGTTTTATTTTTTTGTGTAAATGTAAATCTACAAATCAAATCGGTCTTTTCTAACTCAAATCGTTACCGAAACTATTATAGTTTGTTCACACTTATTTTAACTTGAGATGGTGACTTTAGAATGAGATGCACATGCGTGAGGCACTGGAAAAGTGAGGATGTCTGCAAATACATAGAAAAATAATGAAAAAGTGAACCTGTCCACCCAAAAGATGTTTTTGTATTCCACTTAACTACTTTTGAATTGTTTTGGGGGTTTTTCAATGTAAATGTGCACTACATGGCTGTCTTTCATCTTTGCACCACATCGTGCTGCTTTTTAGTGTCTCCCGCATTCATTGTGCTTTAATACCAAAAAACTAGTAATCAGCATTGCAGTGCTGACCCACTAGTTAGACCTACAAAAACCAGTGTGAAAGTTCGTGCTGATCTAAGATTGTATTCTATTGTATTTTTTGCAGGGGAGATTTCCCAGAAGGCTGCTCTTATAACAAAAAAATAACCTGTGTTACAATGCCACAACAGAAAGCGTTCAGAGAGTAAGTTCAAAAGAAGGAAATCACTTATGAGACAAATGTCACCCATCCTGGGCAGCAGAGGGAATGACACCGCTTCCTGTCCCGAGCGTACTCATGGCTCCTATCATCAGCTTTACCTGGCCCCAGACCAGCAGTGAACCTTCACTGTAATAATAGCACACAGAAGAGATCTCAAGAGATCTGAGTTAAATGAAGCTCTTTATCAAAGTATAAAAAGGTGGCATTATGCAAGGGCAGAAAATAGGGACTGACTGATGTGAAGGATGTGTTTAAGGACATCTGATTCATCTGGGTCTGCCTTGTTCTCTCACACACATGTTGACAGAGGTGACCCCTCCGTGGGGGGCACAGCTGTACCTCTGGCCTCCGTCCTCTGATCTAGAATGTATACACATGCTCAAATGCACTGTTTCCACATCTCTACCAGCTTAAACCTGTCCAGCACAGAGTAGACTGCACTGAGCTGGATTCTGGAGTTCCACATGGGAGCGGAAAGGCTATTGCATAACATTCTGAATCAGAGTCTCCAAATCACACTGGAATGCTCTCAAAAAGTTAATCTTGTAATTTCTTAGAGTGTTCCATTTATGGTTTGCTTGACCAGTTTTGCCTTGTGCTTGTATTATAATTCTTCAGAAAGAACTGTAAAGTACATCTTGTATGCTTGAACAAAAAGTTGAAACTTGTACCTGGAAACTTGTTGCAGTGTTATATTACTATATTGTAGGCTGTCAGTTTGACCACATTGTGGCTTTTGTGATGCTTTTGTACTTGGGATGTTAGTGTGTCACTGATTGTGTGTTGTGTTATATTGTGTTTTCTGTAGGGTTGGTAAAGGGATCTCGTCTGCCTGATCCACAGCTGCTTCCTGCCGAAGACACACACCTTCAGCATGTTGGTGGCACACTCACTCTCATCTGCAGGTACTGTGCTCATCTGCTGTCCCACCTCACACAAACACTAAATCTAAAATATGTTAATTTTATTGATATTATACCAGTAAGCATTCCAATATTCAGACAGAATAAATTTGAACTCAATTTAGAAAAACATAAAACTACCAAATTATTTTAAATAGCCCTTTTAAAACCATCTTATGATAAATATTTTGTTGTATATATTACACCAAAGGAAGAAAGTCATACAGGTTTGGAACAACTTGAGGATGAATAACATAGTAAATTAATAAATTCCAACATTTTTATTTTTGGGTAAACTATCTCTTCTGTATAAGCACTTGGGTGGCAGATGGTGTGTATCCAAGCACACTAATCTCACACCATCACTCTTCAGAACTAAACGCATTTGCTTTTGCTTTGACATGGGATGAGAGGCTCTCAGAAGGCAGTATAATCCCAAAATAGCTATCTCATCCAAATGTAGCAGAAAGAGAAGGGGGACGGGGGCATCTGAAACATTCACATTTGGACTCTGAGAGAGCATTGCATGCTATTGCAGTCATGCCAGGAATGCTGACCCCGAAGAAGCTTAACTAATGTAACGCTTCCTAGAAGGCCATGTGAGCCAGAAGCTGATACTGTCTTTGGCTCTGGACAGAGATTTGAGGCTGAAGTTGCATGACCCATCAGTCTAAAGGCAGCAGCAGTATGTGAGATAAGTCTGATTCTCCACTGGGGTCCTTTTTATGTACTCGTTTGAAACATGTAATTTAGACACTTCATCCATTAAATACCTGTTCCTGTGTAAAGTGGGACACTAAGAAACTTTAAAACTTTCATATTGTCCTATCCTAACAAACCATACATCAATGGAAAGCTTATTTTGCGAAAAATTGACACTTATGACTGGTTTTGTGGTCCGGGGTCACATATAGGCCCGTTTGAATATGCTGAGAATATGGATGAGGAATCTGACATGCTCAGTTAATTTTCAGTAATTCGGAAAGAGATCTTGAAACAAATCTTGAAACAGATCTTTAAAACAAATGTGATCAGGAACTGCAGAAACATCAGTCAACGGAGGATTTGTTTTAAACTGGTCTTTCTATAAACCCTCCTTATGCTTAATTCTAAAGTTATGCTCAGGATGCCAATCAAAAAAATCTGCTGTTGATTTATTTCGGTTACTTTTAGGATTATGTTTGTAATGTCAGAGTAAACTAAAAGAAGCTGCAGAATGTGTTTGTATGTGGTTGGTGGTATAAAGTTAAAAAATCCAATGTAATAGCGGCAGATACTCTCTGCAATGATTATTTAATCTGGCATAAGCCTACTTGCCTTTGAAATTGTTGCTAATGTTCTATTTATATGGTGTGACTTTCATTAGAGGATCAACTTCCCTGCACTGGAGGCTAGCTAACAGAAATGTGTCATCGGTACGGATTGAGCTGTGTGAGGAGAGAATGCACAAGTACTGCAGCAAGCTGGTCATACACAACCTGATGCACAACGACACTGGCTTCTACACATGCGGCGGTCACCAAAAGTCTAGAGATCATGAGGTGTCCACATATGTTTTTGTTAAAGGTAAGATAATAAAAATACTTACTATTGTTTTCAGCATAGACCCAGAGATTGTAAAAAATTGGTTTAGTAAAAATTGTTTTTTTGACATAATATTATTTACATAATATTTTTGTACATCACTGTATTTGGTTAGAAATTATCCCTAAAGGATAAACCAAGGAACTTGCCACTTTCCTTCCAATTAATTGCCAGAAGAGATTTCGAAGAGATTTTGAGGTCTCTCTGTGTGAAACAGGACCTGGAAAAACACCAAGCCATTAGAAAAGCTTGAGATTTAAAAAAAGAAATGAAGTAATGAGAAACTTCACTTCACTGAAACTACAACAAAGCCATAAACCTGTTAGCCGGGCAGTGGAGCTAGTAACTATGCAGCTATTACTGCACTCAGAAGATTTTAATCACTGACAACTGGACCATATCTGCAAGACAGAACTCAGCTGTCATAAGACTAGGAAATAGAAAATCAATGACACAAAAAAACAAGGCTTATATATTAAGCTGGATATCTTTAGAGATGGAAACAGAGTTTGATTGTTCTAGAAGCCTGGTCTTTGATAATTTCCTTTTTGGGCTTCTGCTTAGAGTCTTCCTGTGCCTCCCGACAACTGTGTAAGCTGTTAACATTTTAAGCAAGTGCAATAACTTAGATTTTTTTTTTAATGTCCCTCAAAAATGATTGTAATAATTAAAATGAATTGTAATAATGTTTCACGATATTGCTGTGTTTACTGTGGTGTTTAATAAAATAAATTCAGATGAGAATAAGAGACTTCTTTAAAAATCTTTCTTTAAAAAAATCTCATCATCCCTAAACTTTTGAACGGTAGTGTATGTCCCAAAGAGCTGATCTGCAGTTTATCTATAGCAAAAGACGGTGCTAACTTTAGCTGTGAAAATGACAACAAAGCTCACCAAGTCTCTGGCTCACCAACTGTTTTGTTTAGCAGACCTCTTCCACTGTGGCCTGCTGCATATGTAGCCAATTTAGTATCTGATAGTCCTCTGGTTCATCTCACTATGTGATTCCACTGTTTATGCGAGATAAGTTTGTTTAAAAATATATTTTATTACGTGAACACTGTCAGCACACAAAAGATCTTGTTTGTTTAATCACACCAATTTCACAGCATAGCTGTACAGTAACATGGATGTCTAGGCATTGTCTGAAGTCTAAGAATTCATTGATAAAAGATTAAATACTTTTAAAAATGCCATTCAAATTCATAAGTGAATTAATTAATTATTGTGTTTGTGGCCAGTAAATTAGATTTGTGCTTAGCAAACTGTTATTATTTTGTGTTTACTGTATTATTTTGTGCTTAATTTTAAATCACAGATCACAATAATCCATTTGTGGAGGATTACAGTTCACCACACCTGCTTTTTGCATATCGGGATGAACCTTTTTTTGTGGTCCCATGCAGAACAACGTCCCCAAATCAACATGTTATCCTTGAGACTGTGAGTATTTTTTTATGTTAGCGGCACTGTTTTTGAACCAACTGAATGTAAAAATATTCACATATAATTTAAGGCCGCATACAGTGGAGGTGAATGTTTTACCTGCTTTCCATGCCTCAAAGGCCTTGAAAATGAAAAAATAGGATGTGTTTTGTATGGTCTGGCATTGAAGAATGCCTTGGACCATGGGCGTCTCAGAGTTTCTCATACCCATCAAAGCCCTGAGCATGTGTATTCAGATAGAGACAGTGTGCCATAGGCTCAGGGAAGCTCAAGGAGGCCTAAGGAGACACTCTGTCTGCTTCCTGTAAGAACAGGAAGGTAGTGTTACACTGTTGTTTTCACTCAAAATAGAAACTCAAGCTATAAATAAATTACCTTTTTTACATATCATGTCCATGAAGACTTGGTTATGGGGAAAAAACTGGCCCAGCTCACCCAAAAAGACTGTACTTGAATAGTAAACCTTTGTTCATTCATTTATAATTTTATTTAATTTTATTTTATTTTATGTATACTAGCAAGATGCTTCTTACATAGTATGTGACAGCAGTAGATTCAGTCCTTCAAACTGCACTGGCAGCGAACAACTTCAACGGTGGTGTTTTTTCCACAATGGCCATGTAGTGGGTCTATGGTCATTTCTCACAGGTCTTTGCTATGGATAAACACTTCTAAGCTAGATGGCACAGATAGTTATGTGACCTTTCTGCCATTGGAAGATCTGTGGCATTCGTCCTTCCTGTTTCCTTCCTTCCCTTCGTTCCTAGCAGGGCACTTGGACACCGAACAAACAAAAGAAGTGAAATGGGGTATACAACTCAACTATGATCAGTTCTTCACAGACAAGCTCAGCCCTGTTTTACTCATTACTAGATGGGCTACTAATCATGGGCCATAAAAGCTTCACACAACTTGTTTCCTTCTTCACTGAAAGAACCTTCACTTATATTTAAAGAAAGCTTAAAAATTCTCTCCTCTTGCTCTTCAGATGAATCCTATGGCAGATCATGTAAAAAGTGGGGTGGAGTGGGATCCAAAGAGAGGATTCAAGATTCCCTTGAAATCTGATGACAGCTACCAACTGATTATGTGTATGACCAGTGTGGATAACAAACAGTTTACATCAGACTACATCCTTTTAAGGCTAAGTGAGTCATTTTAATTAAGGAGAAAATCCCAGTTACGCAATTACCTTTTGAAATCTGTGATTGAAAATTACAAAAGCTTTTTTTCATGACATAACCTGGATTCATGTTGGTACCTCCTGTTCTCTGTGCCTAGCGTTGGAGCTGAAAAACATTGCCATCGAGCCAGAACGACCAAAATTACTGGTCGGTGACACCCTGGTCCTCAACTGCTCTGCAGAGACCACTTACAACGGCAGAATTGGATTTGAGTGGCAGTTCCATAAGGGTCGGGTGAGTTATCAGGAGATGATAAGATGCTAAAGATGTTTTACCTAAACGCATGGAGTATTAGATTACTAGATTAGTACACATTCAGATCAACTACCTGATTTGAACTGGCATTATGTAAAGCTTGGCTTGACTGACATCTTCTGAACTTCCTGTCTATGCTTTCAGATCAATCGCACTCACCATAATAACAAGACAAGGGACCAACCTGGCCAAATCATCATGATGACTAACGCATTAACCGTGCCTAATGTGACAATGGAGGACAAGGGCACATATGTGTGCATAGCATCAAATGAAGAGAAAAGGCATCAAGTTTCAACTAAAGTTATTGTATACGGTGAGGATGTGATGATGTGCCACTACCTGAACACACTCGTGCTTTTGTAGAAAAGTTTAATATATTCTTGTATTTTTTCTGTTTGTCTCTACAGAGCATCCATTCCTTAATGTGACCCATAATAAACGCAAATTTATCTCTACTGTAGAGGGTAGAAAGGTGCAGTTTGAGCCACGGGTCAATGCCTTGCCCGCACCAGACCAAGTGTTGTGGTAAATTCATGCTTTTCATTAAAAAAAATAAATGTGACTCAGATGCCATGAGAGGAATTTGATGTGTAATAACCAACCAATTTATTGTATGATTATTATATTGATTGGGTCTTATTCTTTTCTGCTGCCTATTTGTATAGGTACAAAGATGGAGTTGCCATTTCAGAAAATTCCACATGTTATGAGACAGCCGGCTACAACCTCACCATAAAACAAGTGAGGCAGAAGGATGCTGGGATCTTCACTATCGCTCTGTCAAACCAGGAGAAAGGTCTCTACAGAAACCTCAGCTACAAGCTGGAAGTCAGAGGTAATGCAGAAACCTGTATGAACTGCACAGGATTATGATCATCTGAGGGTTTTCTCTGCTGCACGCAATACTGAACCAAATAAGGCTTCCACAACTAAAGATAAAACACTAATATAAATAGCTAACAGAACAAAATAAAAGAGTTTTATTTGCATTTTAATTACATGTGTATGAAGTCAAACAGATTCTTCAGCAAATGTTTTAATTTGTCGGGGAGAAATCAAAGTAAGCGGATGAATTGATATGCTCTTCTCAAAAAGCTTTGTAATGTGCTGTCAGAACTAAGATTTTGATAATGTGCTGACCAGATTTACCCTGAATTTTTGGAAACTTTTTATCCAACAATGTAGACAAGTATGATTACCTCCTCTGGCCTAATATAAAATCTTTATTTTAATGCTTCTCTGTCCTCAACCTGAACCAAAGTATTTGACATCATTACAGACCCAAAAACAAAACCAAGGTAAAAAACAATGGAAACAGAATGAACAGATTTCTGGTTGCAATTATTTTTGGGCATCATTCATCAAATGCTGAAATCTGCCTAATGCTAAAACTTCAGAATTGTTTCCGTTATGAGCACAGATGCACTTCAATGAGATCTATATAGGCAATATTGCTCCCTATTTTCTCTGTACTGAAGTTCATAGAGGCCTGAATATTCTTACTCTTCCATATTAGAGTTATGAGGTGAAAGTTTTTTAGTGTTAGCCAATGATCTTCAAATGATCGGTATTCTTTTCTCGGACTGACCATTTAAATGACTGATGATCTTGTATGTCCATGTGCACACAGTGAAGCCAAAGATCTTTGAGGAGGATGTGGCTCCAGGTGGCCCACAAACTTACAAATATAATGAGGGGCACCAGCTCAGCTGCACTGCATTTGGGATTCCCATGCCAGACATTACCTGGTTTTGGCAGCCGTGTGACCCCAGACCTGATCTTACAGAGTAAGTCAATAATACACACAAAAAAAAAAATATTTTTTTGTTATTGTTCATTTTCAAATTTGCTTTGAATCAACAGGTCTTCTGTTCAGTATTTCACGTCAGATAAAAGATTGCATTACGTCTAATCACATTTCATTGTGTCAAAGCAGAAATATGGTCTTTTTTTGTCATTTCTACAAATTTTGGTTCCATAAACAGTTGTCATCCTCTTGCTTGGGAGATCTTTTCTCTTGCTGAGGTGTTAATATCAATGATGAATGTTTGCCTTTACCCACAGCTCTCATTATTCAAATGAACTGCATCCGTTTCCTTGACATCAGTCCAAAATAAAGTATGCTTATTGATGAAAAATAGCCCCAGAGCTACATTTTGCAGTCACTGGCTCTGTAAATGTGAGGACGATTTATTTTTCTTATTCCCCATGCTTGCATTGTGCTGAAAGCAAGAGTATTGCAGTGTAAATGCCAGCCGTTTAGTGAACCTTTATGGATGCTACGAATGTCCCCTAAACTTAGTTGGTGTGTCATGACAAGGTTTTCTCGTAATTGAGAGTAATTATTTGTCAAGGAGTACTGCCAATTTTGCGACAAAAATACTTTGGGCTTTGTACCACAGTGCCAAAATACCACTTTGGCTGTATTAAATATAATCAGCGATGGCAGTAAACACAACAGCTCATAATATAGATGGTGAGAAGTCCTGATTTTCAACATCTAATGAGAGGGGTACATTGGAGGGTAATTGCAATGCCCTAGTTGGAAGAAAATACAGAACCATTCTTTTATTTTCAGTAGAATGAATTTATTTCTTGAGAAGTGACCAAAAAGAAAAAGTAGCCACGTTCACACTGCCAGATTTGGGAGTTGTGGGAGTGAATCCCCTACATGATCATATTTTAGTTGCGATGTGCCATTAAGGCCCAATCCCAATTCTATTTTATACCCCTTCTCCTTCCCCTACCCCTTGTCCCTTGAAACAGAGTGTCAAGGGGTAGGGGTGAAAATATTCCCCTAAGAATTGGGACACCACTACTATGCCGTCACACGTCATCATACGTCGTCTAGCTCCTACAATATTACTGTTCTATATTAATGCGCTGCTTACTGACACACACACACACACACACACACACACACATATATATCGGAGATCACGCAGCTCACACATCCAGGAGAAAAGAAACTTGTCAACACTGCCCCATGACTTTTATTAATAACAGTTTAAATACTGAATCGCTACATTATATTTTCCGGCAACGAGAGGATATAATCGGTGTTTTTGAAGTAAACTCACTCTAAAAAGAGATACGCACAGACGCGCATACACGCATAAAACAAATGATTACTTTTCGTTAAAATCTTTATTAATGCCAAAAATGCTTACATTTATGCGTCTTTTTGTTCGCTCGGGCAGCCATGTTGCCGCTGAAGCCGGTTTACTCTGAGATAATTCATACCCCTTCGTTTGAAGTGTGGTCCCGAAAAATCTTCGTTTGAAGGGCTGTCTGGCCCTTCCCCTACCCCTACCCCTCCAACCAAAAGAGAATCGAGACACCCGGAAAGGGGAAGGGCTAAGGGGTCGAATTGGGATTGGGCCTAAGTGTCCATAAAATCAGTGTTTTGTTGGAAGGGTCCCATGTTAGAAATCTCATTATTGCGCTCATGAAGATGATCTCTCAGAGGTCTTCTTAATCAAGGGGTGCTGAGAAGTTATCAGCTGTCCCATGTTGACCATGAAGTTCTGGGATCAGCCTTATCTAAGCTGGCCAGAGAGTGGGGGTGTTTCCTTTGATCAGTGACGCATGACTCAGCCCTTCCTGTCACGCTGCAGTTTCCTCTCCGACCCTGACTCTCATTAATCCGATTGTTCCTCCACTCAGATTGATGCAAAACAGGTCTTTGGTCCCCTGCGGCTTCAAGGCATAAATCACATGACTTGATACATGGTGCTCAAATTCAGAAAAAAAATTTTTTAATTCATCAGGGTCCATGAAACCTTACGTTCAACGGCAGAAGATAAACTTATCTGAAAGACATTGGCTAAACAAGTTAATTTGCCCAGCAGTTTCCTCTTATTTTTAAGGGAAGACCTGTTTTAAGTTATTTAATACACGAGTTTCACAATTTGAGTTGAATTACTGAAATAAATTAACTTTTCCACGACATTCTAATCTATTGAGATGCACCTGTATATCAGTCCATCTTACTGAGTGCACTGAAGCCAGTAAAATCCTCATAAACAGAACTTTCTCCCAGGACTATTCATGCACTGAATGTTGATTGTTTCAGACCTGTTTTCAAATACATGAGATGACTTCAAATGCTATCTATGTACAGGGCAGTCAACTAATGTCTAATGTCAATGTAAATTGTTCTACAGTATCCATTGTTGTTTGCTTAGACAGATATCTTATGTCTGTCACTCTATCATTCTTTGCTTGTGCTGCCAAATGTTACAGTGAACACTGCAGACATTTTGGAAAACATCCCAAGAGGCCTTATTACCAAAACCACTCACCCAAAACTTAATGAAGCACAGGTTTTCATTTGTAGCATTCCTCTACAATTCAGTGTGACTGTACGTGGAGCTGCTGTAACCTACCAGGTCAAGCATGTATTCACCTGCAAGCCATCAGCTATAAGCTCAGAATGATGTTTAGTCACCACCAAAAATATAAGCTTACAGCAAGATTTATGTGACACAGTATATTCTCACAGTAGGAATGTCATTTAAAACCAATCATGCCTGCCCTCCCTTGTGCTAGGAGGTTCGCTCTCACTATGGAACAGGTGTAAATTTTGAGGTTAGCTGTATTTAAAGGCTTTTGTGACAAATAGATGATGCTTTGCAGGGATGAAGCACAGCGGTCAGTGATAACGAGGCCCCATTTAACAGGGTGGAATTTGTTTAGGGCGAATTCCTTTCTGACACCTCATATAAATTTCCCAGCACAGTGAATAACAGCCTGGTAAGAGTCCATCTCTGATGGTGCCTTGTAACCACAGAATAAGAAAGGGCCGTCACAGCAGCTAAAAGACAAAATAGGAAGGTCACTCTGAATTTCTGACTACACCATGAGATTGAGAAAAAATGCTAAATGTCACTCAGGAAATTTGTCATTGAGTTTATCCAGTACGTGAATAATGTGCAGTCTATGATGAGATTAATTAACATGGGCATGGAGGTGTATTTACATTGAAAAGTATGCCAATTAATTTAAAAACAACAGAGAGCTATTTCATTGCCTAGTTAAACTGGATTGCTATTGGAAATAGAATGGAAGCGTCTTGTTTTTCAGGTTTATTTTAGTGCAGTGTGCCAATAAAAATCAGCTACATGTAAGACTAAACAGTTACATGCCAGTGCACTACAACAAGTCCACAGATTTACATTAAATGAGCTCCACACCTCATTTCTGTCTGTCCAGCACCGTAATGTTGTGTACAAAAGAAATCCTAACCTTTGCAAAAATTATTTTGCATTAAATATGACTGTTCTACATCTTTACAAACTAAAACAGAAAAAAAAATTAAATACCTGTTGTTCAGAGCCAAAGCCATGCTTCTTACATTTCAAATATATCTTATAAACAGTCTGTGAACCCCAGGAAGTAAGCTGAAAAATGAGTACATTGCTCCATAAATACACCCGGAGTGTTTTATACCTTTGATGTGACGGCCAGGAAAACAGATGTTGTTTGAAACTGAAAACAGAGCTGTGGAATCTGTTTTTTTGCCAAAAATCTGCATTATTATTATTATGTCTACATAAGCTATTAATGAGTTCCACTTGAATGGTGACAGTATTAAGCCTGGCATTTTAAATGTGTAACAGGAAATGACATGGAACACAGGCACACCTTCTGTGCTGTACTCTCTGTGCTGTATTTGGCCTCAAAACTCCAGATGTAGTCTACTAAATGTGTGAGGCTGAGGACTGTAAAAAGGTCCAGTTGTGACCCATCTGCTTATAGGAAATAAATGCCTCAAAGTTTAATGTCATGGATTGTAGGTACTGAGATACATAATATTGTGTTATTCCTGTTAAAAGAGTATTGTGCTATTTTCTCAAATTATGGATTTACATTCCTAATGATCTTTGTCCATTTCTTTAGACTGTAAGCACTCTGGTGGTGGAAACAGCTAATGTGTCGGGGATCTACTCCTGTACAGCAAAGAATGAACTTGGGAACCGGACTATGAGAATCCCTTTTTTTGTGTATAGTAAGTGGGCCATTTTTTTCATTTACTGAAAGTAAAAATTCCACCAAGATCTGTGGCGATTTGTTTTTATTGATTTGATTTTAATTTTGAATGATTTTATTCATTTGATTCTACCACACATGTCGAAAATACCAGGGTGGATGGCTGCAATATAACAAAGAGTGAAAAATTGAAGGGGGTCTGAATACTTTCCGTACCCACTGTATATATATACATACACACATATATATGTTCACAGAACAATTTGTATTTTTAATATTTCACAAATTCCATCTTTGTTTTAGCCCAGCTACTAATAGTCTATTAACACTGTGTTTTATCACATGGTGAATTTTGGCAGATTTGTGACTGAATTCTGGACAGTTAACATGTGTTATGTTATGCTTATGATTGAGCAGCATTGAAACAATTTTGCCATGAAAAAAGCTCCTCACTCCAGGCAAAGTCTTCCCCGTTCTGCTTCTGCTCCGCTTACATACTCTGGAATGGACTGTGGTACAGGAATGCCAATCACTGTTTTAATAATGAATCACTTATATATGTAGCTGACCGGGGTCAAATGTAAACCCATTCACTGAGTTACATAATGAAGCGTGTGTCAGCTATCAGAGTATTCAAAGTTGCCTAGATTAGAATGATGATCAAAAATGAGCTGGAATCAATATCAGACGAGACTCAATAAGCATGAAAAATTAGAACTGTGCAATAAAAATGGAGACAGAAGATAAAAGGGTGGATGTCAAGTGGCATGTCTCCAGAACAGAACAGAAAACCCCAGAGAATATGCTGTGCTATGCAAGAGGTAAAGATGATTTTGTG